TTAAAGATGGCTAGCAACTAACCAAAAGGTGGGAGGGCTTACCCTTTAGTTGTTGCTAGTTCTGGGGGAGGGTCCTGAGGTGACCCTGACATCAGTTGAGCAGGTCTTAACTCCAGGAAACCACTGATACAAGTTCCATTCATTATGGGAAGTGTGCCATTGTAACCATGGCAACTCAGACACTATCCCAGCCACTGTTGTATCAATTACTCCCAGAATGATTTGTCCACCACTGCCATCTGCTTGCCACATGAGAGGAATGGTTTTCTAGCACATTAGCCTTCACTCCAAAGGTCTTCCTATTTTAATCACCACACATTCTCATGGTGACTCACCTCAGGAGGGCCACTCCCCAGTTTCTCACCAAATTCTGGCAATCTATTCTAGGATGTTCAAGAAATACAGCTTATTATGGCTGGGGTGGGGGTGAGGGATGGGGAGTGGAGGGTTATGTGGTTCTTCATATTGTATTAAGTCAGGTGGTTTGGCTTCTCACACCTAAACAAAGTCAATGACTTTCTCAGTACTCCTGCCATTGGAACAACTGGGCTCCTTACTATCATTCACTCCAATGGGTTTCCTCAGGGGCTATTTAGCTCAATTTTTACCTGTTTTTCTTCCCATTTGCTGGTTTATTGGGCAAACCCGTAACCCTTCTTTAATACTTCTCCTCTATCACCACACTGTATGAGAGATGGATAAGTTCTGTTAAGTCCTATGCTTTCACTGTATTTGCCATGAGATGATCATTCAGCCTTCTCCTAACAATTCCAAATAGTACTAACTCTTCCCGGTCTAGGATAGAGCAAAGTTTCCAGAATAATTTATTTGTTCAACTAATAGCCTATTCCATTTCAATTCCAACATTAAGGTCATAGCATTACTCTTTCTGTATGCATATCTAGATTTCTAAAAAAATATTTCACGAACCGTGGCTAGTTCATTAATAATGAACTTTCCTCTACTGCTTGTATTGCCCAATCAAGCAGGGATCCCTTTCTGCCAATGACAAATACCACTTGCATTTGACTGGTAGCAAAGATTCATCTTAAAGGACAACTGACCATGGCCAAAGAAAGCCAATATGTCTGGAAAATGGACCAGAGCACTGTAGTGGGCTTTGGCAGAAGGAGAACTATTCCTATGGAAGAGGTAGTCACAGTTACCTATAAGGACTGTATGTCCCTTTATGGGCAATTCCTGTCTGAGGTTCTTGCAAGGGCTCATCACTTTTCCCCACCTTTATTACCTCTTTCAGGGCAAATGGGAGTTGGGTAAATAACTACTTTCATGCTGGTATAACTGACATGATCAACAGAAATGTCCATAGTAGGGTATATCTTTCCTAGTAATGTATGGAGCTCAATTGTGAAGAATCACATACATGGCTCTGACTTAGAATCTATAGGTTATATTGGTACTATTCAGGTTCCCCTTCGCTATATGTTATGTATCTTGGCTTCTGAACAGGACAGGAAACCACCATGGATATGATATCTGCATACCTCTTGGAGCCTTACCTGCTATGTGCTTCTCCATTCTCTCATACACTGTACTTTAACTTGCATATGGGTTGGGCTATGCCGAGCAGGGTGTATAGCTCCCCGACAAAGGAACTGCAAGGCTGACTTAAATGCCCATTGAGTTTGAGTAGAATTCTGTTGTCATTTCTTATGTCCAGAAACATTTGAGCTCCTGCATCCCTTGCATGGGTAATAATAATAATAATACTATATTCATGGTAATAATACCAATAAAAAAGCTTCAAGAGAAATATGCCTTTCCCAACCAATACTCTCCTTCTTCTTTAAAAAAAAAATAGTGCATTAATAGTGACATACTAGAAAAAAATGATCTTGATTCTTTATTATAAGAGGTGACTGTGGTATGTCCAGGGTATGTGGCTGGTGAAGATCATTTTATAAAAGTGCAGAGTGTATATAGTCATACATTCTGCTTAAAAGTAGGATGGGCCATCTCTTATCCATCCAATTAATAAAAATAATTAGAAGTGATAAAACTCAATTCTAGCAGAGTTGTGAAGAAACAACTAAATTCATTTATAGTTGGTGGAATTTTAAGCTTGTAGAAATGTTTTGGACATTATTTTGGTTGTATGCAATAAAAGTTACAAAAATTCCTTTTTTACAAAGTTTACAAGTTACAAAAGTTCCTTTTGACCTAATAATTCTATTATTGGGACTCTACCCTGAAAGTGTTATCAAAAACAAAGAAAAATATTTTCTTGGCAGTGTTATTTATAAGTGCAAAAAACTGGAAGCAAGCTAAATTTCCCCAAATAGTGTAATACATTCTATAATGGAATACTATAAAGTAATACATACTATACTGGAATTAAGACTGACAAGCATGAAAGAGTGTAAAGAAATCTAGAAAAGACTTAAATAAATATCCCAATGTGTGGCCACTATGTGAATACAATGTTTCACTACTGTATTGCCTTATGCTTAGATGTGTGGAATATACAAAGATAAATAGACTTCAAGGAGTCAAAAATTAAGCAGGTGGTCAGACACATACACAAGTACATCTAATACAAATTAGAACATAATTATAACTGACATAAAGCTTCAGGGTTGGCAAGGTACTTTACATCATCTCATGTCATCCTCATAACAACCCTATGAGGTAATTAGTACAATTATTATTATGCATATTATTATTATTCAAATTATCCAAACATTATTATCTATTATCCAAGAAACTGAGGTTGTGAGAAGTTAAGCCTCACCTATTATCACATAGCTAGTAAATATTTAAGTTGAAAATTGAACCCAGGTCTCCTGATTCCAAGTCTAGCTTTTTATCTATTACATTAAATTCAGCTTTCTTGCCATTACTTCTGGGTTCTAAACTTACTTCTGATCTTTACTAGCTGATTGATCAGGGGATGGTTAGGTGAAGATAGGGACTGGACCTGAGATTTCTTTGGTGTATGGAGCTCCTAGTGAGGAACTTTTTCTACCAATGCAGGCTGGCACCTTCTCTACAATTTATAGTCTTAAGAGGCTAATCTGTTTGCTTAGGATCACACAGCCACTTTGTGATAAAGCTAGAATTTAACCTGAGATCTTGCTTCTGAAGCCAGTTCTTTAACCACTTCACCATGCTGTGTCTGGCTAGGTAAATGAAAAATGATAATAGCTCACATTTATATAGATCTTTTAAGTTTGCAAAGTGCTTCATATACATCATCTAAACTGAACCTTACAACAACCCTGTGAAGCAGGTATTATTATTATTATTATTACTATTATTATTATAATTTCAATAAGCAGATATAGGGGTAAGTAAGAAGAGAAAGGAGACATGGATTCCTGGTGTAAAAAGCAGTATAGGCAAAGGTGTACGGCAGGAAGAATTTGTTTTGGGAAATCACAATGTTCCAATTTAGCTAGGAAAAGTAGTACTGTATAAGGTTAAACCACACTTCGGAGGGCCTTGAATGCCAGATTAAGGAGTTCTGAGTTTATTTAGTGGTTCAAATAAAAGTGGGAGTCACTGAAGATTTTAGGGTAGTGAGTGATGTGATCAGACCTCTACAATGTTAAGATTAACAGTCTCAGTGATAGAAGGAACCTCAGATGACATTTAGTCCAATCCTTAGCTGACCAAGTATCCCACAATATTCTAGACAAGAGGTCATCCAACCCTCCTAGAAGTGGGAGAACTCACCTCCCAAGGCAGCCCATTCCACTTCTGAACAGCCCTAATCATTAAGAACTTTTCCCTTAAATCATGTCCTGCATCCCATGCATGGGTAATAATAATAATAATACTATATGCATGGTAATAATACCAATAAAAAAGCTTCAAGAGAAATATGCCTTTCCCAGCCTCTGAGCAATTCCCACTTCCTAGTTTTGGTCTCTAGAACAAACATAACAAGTCTGATTCCTGTTCCTCCAAGATATTTTCTAGGCTGAAGAGACTGGGAAGATATTGGTGGTGGGTGGGTTAGGGAGACCCTTTATGGAAGCATTTCTTATGTACAACTCAAGCTTCTAAAGCCTGTCTCCCATTTGAAGACGCATCTTTAACTCTGATGTATTCTCCATCTTACATTTGAATTCAAGCATATACAGTAAGATGAGGGCAAGCCAGAGGCTAAAAATAGCCTCAAATGTTCTCATATTCTGCACACAATCTTTCTCCTTTCTATTATTTTAAGCCTCGCACATTGATTTGAACTGCAAGAATACATGGCTAACCATCTGATCTCAGCTTTGTTTAAGCTTCTTGTCCTCAATTGCTTTCTTGCTCTTCTCAGGTGCCTGATTGATGCCTGTTGAATTTTTCAACCGAAATTGCGTTTCTTTTGGAGAGAGCTACATGGATATGGTGACGCTTCAGTCCTGGGAACCTCAAAAATGCGGCATTTTCTTTGGGTTTGAGAGGCCTGGGGTAAGTAATTAGCAAACCTATCGAGGTGAGCTAGCTGTTTATCCGTACTGTTTGACGGCCCCTTCCATCCTGGTGGTGCCTGACTACGGATTTCAGAACGGATAACTGAAATGAAGGACTGTCAGGAGCTCCAGGTTGTTCCGAGCAGACACTGCTCATTCTTAAGCTCCAGAAATACAAAGAGAAAACCTTACACGTAGGAGTGGTGTGGGTGTATGTGTGCGGGGAGGTAATTTTCCAAGGTACAGCAACTGTCTGGCCAGGGGCACCTCCTTCCAGGATCAGGAGGGAAGGGGAGGTGGGGTTTGCTGTTCCCTCCAGGTGGTACTGACAACAGCCCTACTACCCTTTCCCCTTTAGGTTTAGGTAGTTGAGAGAAATAAAGAGTTTAATATTTTTGCTGAAGTGGGAGTTGGGAGGAGGGGGAAAGAAGCAAAGAAAGAAGGGAGAGAGGCAGAAGCAAAAGCAACAGAGCACTAGCTCTCTCGTTCCTCTCGGAATCTAAGAAACAGGAAAGGAGGTGGGGCGCGGCTGAGGAGGGGGGATTGGGGTGGGGCGAGCTAGGTTGCACAAGGATGCGCGCACGCGCGCGCTGGCTGGGCCTGGGAGGGGTTGGGAGGAGAGGCGCGCGCACGCGCTGGGGTGTCTGGAAACTGGGCGGAGGAGGAGTGAACCTGAAAGGCTCGCGTTCGCCCTCGGGGGTGGAGAGTCTGTTCTCGAGGGCTGGGACGCGCGCGGGCGCGCTAGCCAGCCGCGTGACGGGCGGAGGAGTTGCCGGTCCCGAGGCGGCGGCGGGGGCGCGCTCCCTTCTCCGCTCCTCCTTCTCTCGCTCTCTCCTTCCCCGGCAGCTTGGGGGGCTGGGTGCTCCGGAGAGAGAGAGAGACGCCGCTCTCCAGCCCGGAGCGGCCCGATCGAGCGTCCGGCCTCCTCTTCCTCTCGAGGCTCCCCGCCTTCTCCCCCGCCCACGGCGTCCACGCCCTCGAGTCCCGGGGCCGCCGCTCATTGTGCTGCGCCAGGCCCGCCGGCCCGAGGACTTCCCTGCGCCCTCTCTCCCTTCCCGCCCTGAGCTCTCCCGTCCTTCCTGGGCCATGGATGGGTAAGTGCTGGCGGGCCCTTCGCCCCCGAGCGGCGCCGGCCGGGGGAGCGCGGCTGAGCTTCCCGGAGCCCGCCTCGAGCCCTCCGCCTCCCCCTCCCCCTCCGCCATCCCTGCGCCGGCCCCGGAGCTTGGCTGGATGGAAGCTGGCGAAGGGGCCCCCTCACCTTCCCGCGACTGGGCGCGGCGCAGTGTGTGCGGGGGGAGGGGGTGTGCGGGGCGGGGGTGGAAATGCCTCTGCTTCCCTTTAGGTCTCGTTCGGCTTCCTCTCCGCGCTTTCTTGTCTCCTCCCTCCCCCCCTTCTGGCGGAGCGGGGCGCTGAGGCTGGGAGGGGGCGCCGCTGAGCTGGGGCGGGGGCGGGGGAGCTAAGGAAGAAGGGAAGGGGGTGTGTGTGCGCGGGTGAGGTGGATCTGCCGCCGCTGGAGGCCGGGGAGGGTGGGGTGATTGCTGAGGGGCTCTCGTGGGGAAGAGAGCCCATCCCTGCGGAGCTTTGCGTTTGGGACTGAAGAGGTTTTAAACTGCATAGGACTTGTTAGACGCACTTCCCCCCCGCTTCTCGTCCCCTTTCTCCTCCTCTCGTTTTCTCGTCTCTCCTCTCCCTCCTCCCATCTTTTATTTCTTCCCTTCCTTTTCTCCCTCTCTTGCTCCCTCTTTCCTTCTCCTTTTCTCCCTCCCCCCCTTTTCCTCCTCCCTCTTTACTCGCTCTTCCTTCTGTCCCTTATCTCCCTTTTTCTGTTCCCTTTTCTCGCTCCCTCTTTTCATTTCTCCCTTTTCTCCCTCTCCCTTTCTTCCCTTTCTCCCTCTCCTCTTTTCTCTCTCCCCCTTCTTTGCTCCCCTTTTCTCTGTTTGCTCCATCTTCCCCTTTTTTCTCCTCTCTTTTTCCTCCCTCTCCCCCTTTTCTAGCTCTACCTTTTCTCGTCTCCCTTGTCTCTCTCTTCCCTTTCCTCATCATTCCTTTTCCTCTTCTCTTTTTCCCCCTCTCCCTTTTTCTCTTCTCCCCCTTTCCCCCTTTTTTCTCCCTCTTCTCTTTTCTCCTTTTTTTCTCTTCCTTTTTCTTCATCTCTCTCCTTTTCTCCCCTTCCTCTTTTTTCTCCTTCCTCCCTCTCTTCTTTTTCCCTTTCCCATTCTCCCTTTTTCCTCTCCTCTCCCCCTCCCTTCTCTCCTGCTCCCATTCCACGCCCCCTCCAGTCCCCTCCCCTCTTCATCCTCCCTTCCTCACCCGCTCCAGGTTAGGCACGGAACTTCTGTGATTAGAGTAGGTTGGAGGGGGTGAAGGCTAGTCCACATCCTCCTTCTCACCCCAACCCCCGCTCCTCCGCCGACTAACCGGAGTCACGTCTTGCTGTGTGTTGAGACATCTGGAAAGCCAGAGATCCGGAGTTGGAGTTGGTCTTTCTTCCCCGCAGCCCTCAGATCACTTCCGCTTAGAAAATGGTGTGTGAGAGGACGACGTTTGGAGAGCCGGGAGGAGGAGCTGGGCCGCGGCTGCTCCTGCTCCTGCCCCTGCTCCTGCTGCGGGTGGTGTGTGGGGGGTGGGCGCAACTCTGACTTTTCTCTGGGAGTTTGTTTCTTGGCTCGAGGAAGGAAGCTCTGCAGGTTCGGCACTCTCTCTTCCCCCAAACTAAAGCACATCTCGGGGAAGGAGGAAAAACAGATGTGTTTAAATTCTTTATGGAGGGAAAGTGGCGAGTGTGATTGAGTACTGAGAGTAAAGTTAGAATAGATTAAAAAAGAGACCCTTTTTTAACTGGGAAACTAATGAGAAACGCCTTTGGCCTTCAAAAATGCTTAAATCAGAGACGACTTTGGCCTTGAAATGTGCTTAAGTCAGAGATTGGACTCTGAATATTTATGGAGAATGTTCTTGGGGGGAAAAGGCGAAGTTAAGAGGGAAGTGAAGATTTTATTTCTGGATTGGGATCTTAGGCTATTGGTGAAACGGTTCGTAGGCTGCAGCACGTTATAACTTTTTTTTTTAATGTAAGGGGAAGTGCAAGGGTGATAACTGATGCTACTCTCACAGGGCCTATAAATCCATTTCACTCTGGTGTTGGTTTGTTCGGCATTCCACAGGTGGTCGATTTCTGGAAAGCCTTAAGACTTGTAAAGAAAAGAAATCTTATCTGATGGTTTTACTTTAAAGAGACAAAATAGTAAAACACTGTTAATCAAATCTTGTGTCTGCAGTTATGTTACTGTATAGTTGTGATGGTGATGGTGATACAAAAAACGTTGGTTCTTCCTATGATGCATACTCATTTGATGTTTCCTGTAGGTTTACTATACTAAACCCTCCTTTTACCGTTTCTGATTAATTCAGTTGAATGCCAGTGAAGGTGGCTACAGGATAAAACACAAGTGACAATTTGAAAACTAAAAAAAGTACATTTTTAGAATGCTATCACTACTAGTTTTGTGACTTTCAAATAACATTTTTATTTCTAAGTTTAGCAAATGTCTTCAAATCATATACTGAAGTGATTTAGCATTTTTGTAGACTTGTGTGTCTTACATGAAGTGCTTTAACTTGAAAGTTATTTTCATTAGGAAAAAAAGTAATCTGTTTAATTAGATAAATAGGTAGTTGATGCAAATTAACAGGTTTCTGTAATTTGTTGTGCAGTCAATGCTAAAAGGGGAGGGCAACCACCCCAATTTTTTTTAAAGTTATAATGAACTAATGTCATCTGATCATAGTTATGGAAGTGTAATAGCTTTTTGTGTTAGAAAATGCATCGGTACAAGCAGCTTGTGTCATGCAATCTTTTAATTGTGATTTTAGTTAAATTATTATTCAGACAACTTGGGTGGAAATATTATGAAATACATTTTGATCTTTAATAAGACTGCTGACCTCTTAATTATATAGTATTGGGACTGGTCCAGCAGGGGGTGAAACTTAAATACTGGTATTTTTTTTTAAAGCTTGAAATGAATTTTTTAAGACAGTTCATTTAAGCATGGGGCAGTTGATAAGTACATAGATTCTAAAAAGTGACCTTATTGTGAAATTAAGGTAAATAATATAATTTAATCTGTCTTACTTTCTGGACAGGAATTACACAAAAATTTGTCATCTTATGCTTAATATTAAGTCACAGGAAAGGTACTTTATTAAAAAAATTTTTTTTTGGTCGGCTGAATTAATTTTAAGCTCCAACATGTATATTTTTTAAAACAATTGCTTTTATGTTATAGGGCCTTGCAATCCCAAGTGATGATCAGTATGTGGAATTTTCAGTTTGTACAGTTAAAATTTTCTCTTGAGTATCTGGAGATAAGTTTTAATTGATTGTAGTAGTCGGCTTATGCTTCAATAGATAGATTTTTTTAGGTACGTCACAGAACATTAATTATAAAGGTTCTGCCCCACCTTTAAAAGGTGTGGTTCTAGACCTTTCAAGATTTTGTCCTCAGGGGCCTAATTAAACTTTTAGGGTTTCTCACAGCCTGAAAAAAAAACCCAAAAACTCTGTGAACCATTTGCTTTAAAGTAATGGACCATAGGTTCAAGTTTTGAATTACCTTTTTAAGAAAAGTCACTATACATTAGCATTTATTGTCCCAAATCCCTGCTGAATTAACTGAAATTTAGGATTGAATTTTTTCCCCTTCTTGGAGCTGTTTTGCATCAAGGACTTTATTAGTTTGAAAATACTGTTTGAAATCATTTGAGTAATTTGATATTTTATTGGTTTTAATAGTGACACAGTATCTTGTTACTGTTTTGGTGAGGTTAAGAGAAATCTTAATTCTGTGAAATTTAAGTCCTTGAGTTCTTTTTAAACTTTGAAAAATAATTTATACCTGTTTGGCTTGGAAGATAAAAAACTTGGGCAATTTTTATTTTGAAGACCAAATTGAAGAATATAGGCAAATGGATAAACATGCTGGCTAATGTTTCTATATGGGCACAGTAGTTTTTCTGTTGAAATGATTAATTCCAAGAAGTTTGATTTCTATGTTTCTTATCTATCTCTTTAGAGCTTTGCTTTGTTCATACTGTGTGTTACTAGTCTGTCGGTCAAATTTCCTTTGCAAAAACATTCCACAACTCATCACATTTTCACTTTTATTTACATTATTATAACAATGTTTTTCTTTCCTCCTTTAACCTTATTTACCTCTGCCTTTGTAATACTTGCTCTCTAACTTTGTTTTCCATTTTCTCTTCATTTTTTTTCCATACAGTGTTGTTACAGATCTTATAACAGTCGGTTTAAAGGTAGGAATCTTTTTCTCATCTTTCATTATTCACTTTTGTATCCTCTTAATTTGTGGCGTTTTCCCCTTCAGCAAAACTGTATCACTATTCACTTATCATTGTGCTATTTCTGTACCAGCAATGTTCTTTTGTTTTTGATTTAGCCATTAACAATTTATTTTGGCATGTACTTATAGCCAATTTTTGATTATATTAATCACAGGTGAGGTTTACATCATATCTTTAATACATACAGACACATAAAAGTGAAAATAAAAGATAACATAGTCTCACTTGAGCCAAATGAAGATTCTAAGAAATGTAGCAAAGAAATGGATTTTCCTCTATCTTCCATTTCATGGATGGTAAAACCAGTGGCAAGAAACAAAGGAAATTTGTCCAATAGGTAATTCATAGTTTTCAAAAATAATTCTTATACTTAACAGGTTTTTTTCTGACCAGCTTAAACAATATGTAAAAGAATAAGCTTTTTATAAAAGCCAACTGTTAGTTTCATGTAATTGACTAAAACAGTGCTTATTAATGTCAGGTTTTAAAAATATGGTCTCTAGGTTTAGAATGATCTCATTTATATAGTGCTATAGTCCTTTTCCTCCCAACAACTCCTGTGATGTGGAATGCAAGTGTAATCAGGGTTAACTGAGGCTTTAACATAGACTTTAACTGTGGTCATACAGTCAGAAAATGTTAAAACAAGGATTTGTTCTTTCTGTTATGTTTCTTGAAGGTCTTGGAATTTCATTAATATTCCAGGAGAATACTTTAATATGAATTTTAA